GCCTGTCTCTATCTAGTACCTTGTGATCTCCCAGGAGGCTTAGCAGTTCATGGCGGTGCCCCTCGGCCAGGTCCTGTCCACCGCTCTTCTCCAGTTTGGGCAGAAACTGTTTGAGCGCACTGCAGCAGAAGCGGTTCCAGCGGGTGGCATGACGAGGACGCCACTCCATTATTTTTTCCTTTAGGATTTTTTCAATTCTGCAAAAAATAAATCATCAGTATTAGCAAACCCCAAGCACACATTTCACCAAAACAATCCCACTTTTTCAATTCAGTGCCATCTATTATCTGTACTTCACTATACAGCATTGACTTGCCTGTCTTGAAGCTCTACTGTAGTTGATTTGTCAGTGCTGTGGTACACCATCTGCTCTGGCTATGAAATATGTAATATAAAAAAAGTATTAAACACTGAAAGGGGATATCCAATAATTAAATAATATAGCAGAGCTTTACCTGAACACTGGAAAGACCCGGATGAGCAAACGACCGTGAGAAAAATGGCCGCCACAGATTTGTCTTAGAGGTGTCAAAACTCATTCTCATTGGGGAGCTGTACTGTTGAATGTTAAACCAGACCTATGAAAATTAAAGTTTTTTTTAAGTTGTACTGCAAATGTAAATGTGTAATCTTACATGGTTGCACATAGAACACAACTCTCTCATTACACATACATATAAATAAGATAAAGACAAATAAAAAAATATATATTAAATTATCCTTACAACAGTAAATAATAACATTAATTTTAAATAATATATATGCTACAGTCACAGGTTCACCCACATTGTGAGCATCCACCAGGCAGCCCACAGTCTGTAGGGGGCAGAAGGTGTCGTACTGGCCATAATGCTGTCCGCTGCTCGGGTTCCAGATCAGGTAACGATTCTGATCATATGTCAGCACATACGCTGTGGGTCCCTACAAATAAAACTGTTAACACTTGTAGTTTCCTTCCTCCAAACACAATGATAGTGGTGCCACAAGTTTGACCAATTTATACCAATTTTACACATCAGACTGCAATACTGATACCATATAACACAACAAGATAATACGGTTACACTATATAGGAATATTGGTATACATGTAATAATAATCTAGTAAAATTAATCCATTGACGCATCTGTATATTTAAATCACTCACCTCCGGTATAGCAGTCCCAATTACAAGCCAGGCTTTCTTTCCCATAAACAAGAAGTAGTTACACAACAGAACAGCATGCTCCTCCTCATCTCCCGCCAGGAACGTCAGAAATTGCTAAAACCAAATGAGAAAGAAAAAAAGAAAAATATATAAAGTATAAAAAATTGTGTGATTTTGCTAGTTGTTCTAGCATTGAAAAAGCGGGATTACTTACATCACATGTTGTCCAAAGATCACAATTACCAGAAAATGAAACTCTGTCAGGTAATGATGGAATGAGGGACACAAATCTGGCAACCATAGACTATACAAAAACAAAACAGAAAATTCATTACAGTGATTTAAAATATCACAATTTAACATCAACTTGTTAGATTTAGATGAACTGACCATAGGTTCAGTTGTGTCAGAAAGCATGTCAAGAGGGGGGTTAAGAGGTTTGATGTAGCGAGTGATGAAGACTGTTTTTCCATTGAGGTCTATGACGGTGGTGAGGCAGGGTCTGTCCGGGTGACTGCGGGCAGCTTCCCTATCAAATCTATCTGCGGCCATGAGCAAACTCTCCTCCTCTTGACTATCAAACTGAATATATGGAATAAAAGAGAGAAAGGATTAAAAAGATGAAAGTACAGTTATAGTACAGTCTAGGACTATTTGGTTAAAAATGTATGGACAGTTACCTCTACTTCCTTTAACTAGCACAAGCAGCAAAGAAAAGTAAAAACAAAAAACAAAAAAAACATGAGATATGATTGAACTAAAAAGAAATGCAAACTCAAAGCAAAGATGGCTGCAGAGTAAAACATGGCTATGTAAGTAAAGTTAGTAAAATGTTGTGCAAAAAGAAACAAAGAAATACAAAATACAAAAACTTTTGCAATGTTCTGTAGACACACAAAATGAAGTCATTTAGAATATACTACTGAATTCCCCAGTACCCTTTCCCTTATCGACTCTCCAGGCACAAGCTGAGGTTCGATGGTGATGAAGAGAGTGATAAATGCTCCTCCGCTCACACTTCCGTCATACCCATTGGGATTGTGGCTTCGCTCTTTACTGTAGCCCAGTAACACGGCAGGGGTGTTCACTTTGAAAGTCCCATCAATCTGGCCAGACAGGACATAAATTAATATTCTGTTCAATATATATGAGAAGAAAAAAAAAATCCCATGATAATGTTGATTCTTCTAACCTTGGACTGAGAGTAGATAGTGCTGAAGGGGATCTTGACTGAACCCAACCAGTGCCTCTCAATACGAGTATGGATTGACTTTTGTTTGTCACTATCACTCTGTATAGAGACAATCAGGTAATAGTGATTGAATTAAAATCAGAATAACAAACATATTTAAAAACTGCAAACACAAAATGTACTCACCGTTCCAGTTTCATGGAGAATTTCATCAAAAATGTTAATAAAAACCTCATCTTTGACTGACTGCAGGTTTGCAGTGCTGTAGTCTCCATTTGGGGCACTGGAAAAAAATCATATTCACAATTATCTTTTGGACAATTACCGACAATGGAAGGAGACAAAAAAATCATTGAGGTAATAAAGCTATTAAAATTAAAACTTTTAGCTCTTTGGGAAATTTCTTCTACATTGGAAGCTCCACCTAAAAGGAAGCTGTAGCTCCTCATTCCAGCTGGGGTTGGGCCCTTCTGCTGTTGTTGTCTGAAGCACTGTGCGCTGGAACGATACCTCCACAAAAGGCCTTACCTGAATCTAAACAAAAGTTACAATCATTTGCAACGCACAGTGCTGTATGGTTCAACTTTGATACAGATATTACCTGACAGAGGTCACCCTGAGATGTCTGTATTGGTGGCCCCTTACTAAAATGAAAGCACAATATTTGATTGATTGATTGATCTTATATATGTTTATGTTGCATTGGTCACTTACTTGTTGTGGGGTCTTCTCACAGGGATGTCGTAGGCACGGATGATGTTGACCAACAGCTTGATATCTCCGTCTGTCAGGTTTTGCGCAGTCACCTTCTTCCTCTCCTTCCTCTGGGGCTTCAGCGGGCGCTTGGGCTCAGCCAGTTTGAAAATATTTATACCCAGTAACCTGAGGGATCATTCGTCACACTGAATGGTTAAATCTTTATAAAACACTACAAGGATTTAATAACCTACATGTAGATGTAGATGTGTGTGAAAATGTATGCTTGGATTTTCTACTGACAAATTGGGAAAACCAAGTTTGACACTTTTTTTTACAAAAAAGATTCTACACACAAACATTTATAATTGTACTAGGCTTGGTCTAGGGAAAGGGTTTAAATGTACTTACCATCTACTCCATAGCAGTACTAGCAGTACTACATACAGTACATAACATATAAAACACATTTGAAATCATCTGAAGTTCAGGATCTTTTACAAACTAGGATTGTGGGTCTATTGTTAATGAGGGACTGAGTTTCTAACTGGACAGAGGGAAGATTGGGGGAAAAGAAACGGCCAAACACATACCCTGCACCTGCCCCACTGTAAAAACATATCACGCAAGAAAAATAATAAGAAATTACATTGCTAATGCAAAATATATAAGATTATAACATTGTCAGTTATTTTCAACATAGTCCAGTCCTCAACTGGGCAATACACAAGGATATAGATACCAGCTTCTGTTTGATGATTTGGTATAACACCATCATGAATGATAATTCAATGTATCTTATTTAACCACACATTTTAGTCACCCACAAAGAATTTTAAATTGTAGTGTTTTTTGTAGTGTTCTGATGCCTTTACCCAATAGTGGGGATCTCCTCTTCTACGACCAGGTCTGTGAGTAGGTAGCGATGTTTGGCAAGAAGGAATCTATTTATGACCGACTCTCTGATCTGCAAAACATTCCATGCTCATAATTAGCAAATATGGTATTTAAATTTACAGTATTATTTTTACTAACTTTTTTAAGGTAAGAGGCCACAAAGGCACGATGTGAATCCAGGTGTTGTTTGGTGTCCACGACATCCCCCTCTTTCAGTCTCTTCTCATAATCCTGTGATATTTAAAGTAACATTTAATTAAGAACATTATCCAAGCCTTTTAGTTAATCATTGGTCAGTGTGTGCAGAATGTGTAGTTTATACTTACCAGGAAAACGTTATCAGACACCTCTCTCTCAAGAGCAGGAACACATTTATAATTTCTGAACTCGGGGACACCTTGGTTCCTCAGCCTAAGCAGTTTGTATCTTTTTGAACTGTCCAGCTCTTCATCAGTGCAAAAATTAAACTCGTCTTGCAATTGTTCGAGTCTAAAATAGTCTGGAGCAGTCACCTCACCGCTACTAGCAACCTATGGATTATTAAATAGTTACCTTAGCTAGTAGTAGCAGTCGTAGATGACCCGATGTGATGATTTGAGAACACTTACTTTCAAAAGCTGCATGATGGAGGCGTTTTTTGGATCATTGGGATCCAGTCGTGACTGTTTTGCCCATTCTCCAATTTTTTTCAAGTCATACAGCCCAGACGCTCCAATAAATGAGACGGCATCAAGGTGTCCCAAACCACTAAAACACAGTGACAATTAACATAATGCAAAGTGCTGTTTTAATGATTGTTGGGCTTGTTAGCAATTTTAAGTTAGGGATGCAGGATAGATTGCTACTTTATCCTTACCATTATAGGGATTACATATTTTAACAGGTATTTTCACAGGGCGTATGTATCAAAATAAATATATCACAGCACTAGTAGCACATTTTTAGAGGTACTCAGGAGTCTGCTGCCCTCCTGATTTTGTTTTCTTTAAAGCCAATTCTATATCTTCAGCATTTTTCAAATCACATACAGAGCTTGTTTTCATATACTGTAATATCTGAAAAGCTGCTGTTTTGACCACCTACCAATAAAAGTAGTAAATGTAATGGTACTACCTGTGTGTTCCACCATATTGTTGTGACACAGGAGGAGCGAGTGGGACATCGTCATCACCAATGGCCCAGGACACACAACATGCAAGTTTTCCCGAAGTCAGCAAGGTGATTTTGTTACTGCCATCAGCTTCAAAGGACAAGGGCACATCTGAAAAAGAAGAGATGATGAATAAAACATGTTGGGCTTTTTATGGAATAAAAATTACCCACCACTTCCTACTCCTTCGTGGTCAAATGTGACTCTCTGGTTGCTGCTGAACTCAAAGTTCTCTATGGGAGCGCTGCCGGTAAGAACGGAGGGCTCTGGTACGGGTATGAAGACCTGAGTCAGTAAAGAGGATGACGTACCAGCCTCTTCAAACACCTTCAAACAAAGCAAAAGTTGAGCTTTTGAGAAAGATAAAGAAATGCTAAAAATGAACCAGTGTATGAAAATACTGCAGATCGGGGAGTTAGAGTCCAGTGCATGCATGTCACTTTTACTTTAATTGAGAAAAAGCTATTTTGTTTAGCTTTTAATTACTTTTAATAAAATACCACATCTTTCCTTTAAACACCTCTGAATGTCTGAAAACCTCTGAAACAGTCCCAAAATTGCCCATATATACAGTACAATTAAGATGTACATTTAAATCTGTGAAGAGTCAAAACATCTGTATATATCACATTACTTCGGTAATGCTTAATAAAATATTGTACCTGCAGACAGATACTTTGGGGACAGTTGATGATTCTAAGATTGAAAATTTGCCCAAAATGCACCCTGAAATCAGAGTTTAGAGCACAGCTGTCGGTTCTGGACACTTCTTTATCATTGTAGATAATTCTAACAAACAGCATACGCCTTCCAACATCCATCCTTCGAGCTACCTCGGCTCTAAACAAACACAATGAAGCAAAATGATTATATTCTTCAATTACCATACTGAAATATCATGCAGCTGTATTTGCCTTGAAGAAAAATCTTTAAAGCATGTTGGAGTTTTTGTAATAAATCTTTATTAACACCTTGGATAGCTCTCTTTTCATAGATTGCTATTTTGCCCACGAACCTGAAGAGGAATTGGTAGGCTACTTAACTTAAGATCAAGTGAGCACTCCTTGCTTCCTAAATATTTGATCATGTAAATTCAAAAGGCTGTAGCACACACAATAAATGTTGTGTTTCGTGGGCCGCTTTTCAACATTAGTTGAAGTATTGAGGAGGATTGGCATCAACTTACATATTGGTCAGTCTAAAAAGGATACAGATAAACTTTGGACACAAGGTGAGAACTGTAGACTTAAAAACTGTTAATAGAAAGTCCATTAGAGGAGTGAAAAAGAAAGGTAGGCAAAGACAACTTGAAACACAAACAGTCGGCTCTGTCAGCAGACATAAATAAGAGAGCATTCCAGGACATGTGTTCTGAAGAATTTCTTTAGGTCATACCTGGGACATTGCTCAGTGGCTGTGATGTTACCAGTTGCAGACAGCTCTGGGATCAGGATGGGCTCTCCTGGTTTTCTGCGGATCCTTGAGGCTTTTTCCCTCACGTTCTGCTCAAAGGAGTTTAAGTCTGGTTTCTCTGGAACCTCTGGTTTTGGAGGTGCCTCTTCATCAAGTGCCTCTGAATCACTGAAATCCTCATCTTCTGAATCAGCCTCTGTATCTTTCCTTTTATTCTTCATGGATTTTTTCTTTTTACCTTTCTGGATACAACAAAAATACAGGAGTCTTTTTATCATATGGCTATTTTATTGCCATTAATAACAATCAGGCAATAATCTGATAATAGTGGGTCTTCAAATTTGATGAATAATAGGAAAACAAGGCCATTCCACAGCCACAGCTCTTATAAGGTGTTCCTGATCTGTAGTCAATAACATATTTTTGTAAAGGTCTACTTTACTGTCCTCATAAAAAAAATGCATATAGGTTTTGTTATGGTGTTGGGGTAAACCCAAGGAAAAAAATAGACCAAGTAAGAAAAGTTTGTTGAGTGTATGAAGTATGTTGTGCAATAAAATAAGGAGAAATTAGCTCCTTCTCAGGCTGCAGCTACCTATGAGTCAGGTGGTGTATTTTATAATAAATATGCCGTACCTGTTTCTTTCGCCACAGTTTCCACTTATCCAACTGTGTCTTGTAGTCGTCCCACTTTCTTTTATATTCCTGTTCAGCTTCTAACTCCAACTCTATGATCTCTGCCATGATCTCCCTCTCATACTCTCGCTCATCCAATTCAGGGTCTACTATCTCTCTATACAAACAGCACGAGAGAGATTAATACTTAATGCAGAACAAAAACACTAATAAGAACAAACCAAAAGTGACCTTGTTACTAGTATTTAAATCACATTGTATGATTATTTGTACCGTCTGAGCTGGAGTCTGTATGGTGTATTGGTAAACTTCTGAAAGTCTCTCAAGGTTTTCAAGTCTTTCCAAACTTTAATAATATTCTTCAACAGAGTCCTGTCTTTCTCCTGTTCACGGTCTCGCAACTGACGCGTGTCTCTGCAACCGCCAGACAAACACACCCAAAATTATTCAGTTTTCAAAATGTGACTTTGGTGACAATTATGTATCAGCTTTTAACTGCACCTAAAAAAACTGAATAAATACTTTGCTATACTTACTTGATTTCCACGTTGTACTCTAAAATCCTCTTCTGCTGAGCCTCCGTCAAATTTTCCTCTCCGTGAATCTCAACCATATTCTGTAGTGCAGTTCTCAACCCTTTCAACTACAGATACCAAAGCACAAAACCATAAAACACATACAATATGAAAATGAATGGTTACTTTACAGTTTTTTCCTGGTGTGTACCTTCTCAGTGAGGCGCCCAGTGAGGTTATTGTGTTGCCTGTTGAGATACTGGTCATAGAGTTGGACTAGACGTGATCCCAGGACGTGCTCGCGACTGAAGAGGGGATGATGAGAGAAGATCAGTCCAGAGACGTCCACATCGAGCTGGAAGTCTCCAGCAGAGTCCCCCACTCCAGCAAAGTACGCGTTTTCTTGCTTGGACATAACTGGCTGCAAATGAATGAAGAAAATCAATTATGGATCAGAGACAGAGTTAAAATAAGATGGGTCAAAAGTAAATAAAAAAAATACTGAATTTTATTTATTTTTTTATTGTGATGATTTTGGGAAACTGAAGTCATCACACTTTAATTACATAAAATAACTGCTGGAATTGTATACTAGATAAATATATTAATATAACTGCTTGATAATATTTTTGATGTGCAACTCCTAATTCCTAACTCCTAACCTTCCTGAAGACAGTCTGTAGCGCCGGGTCCAGCTCTTCCTCCATATGAAACAAAGGAGGTCGTGTGGATGACTCTTTTATTGGATTTGGTAATGCCATTATCCTGCCATCATCACCAAACCACTTTTTCCCCTTTATAAAGAAACAATGACATTATACAAAGGTTTTAAAAGTATATACTTATCATCTTGTGTGCATGTTTATTACCTCTGCTGACTTTAAAAGACGATTCTCTAAAATATTCTCATTGGTCAAAGACACAGGGGGTCTCTCTCCAACATACAGACCCTCATCTTCCAGATAGCGAGGCTTAATGTTTTCAGGTAGTTTTACACATGTTGGAACTGCAAAAATGTAGCATACACACAAATTAAACTATTAACTGGTATTCGCTACGGAGATCACGACTATACAAAGACTAATCATGTATTTATTTAATTTAATATTTAAGAGTTTTCCCATCTTCTTCAAATGTGTCTCAAAACTTAATTTTGTCTTCTAAATCCAAACCATAATTTATAACCACACCAAAATAATTACTGTGACCAAGTTTCATTTAATACAAATTTAAGCTACACCTTTTAGGCAGTTGGAGATGCAAAGGAAAGGCAAATGACAGAAATAAAAACTGTTGGAACATAAGAAGTACCTGGCCGTAAGCTGGGTGTGAAGAGTAGCTCGCTTGCGTGTTGAAGACGCTTGTGGTATCCAATGTACTCAGCTTTCTTCACTACAATAAAGTCCTCCGTCGATTGTTCAGTCACAAATAAATTATCTCTGTCATCTTGGACAAGGGGGGCTTCCTCATTCTGCAACAGCAAGGATAAGGCATTAACAAAAAAATACATGTGAATCAAAAATAAGCCACACATTGTAATGCATACTCTCTCGAACACAGGGTTCACACACTGTGGCAACACATGGCGAGTTAAAATAAATATGAGGAAATGTTGTTGAAACAATGCCAAAGAAAACCCTTTACCAAATGATGCGCCTTTTATAAACAGCTTATTTACATATTAAACCTAAATAACTTTAGATTTCCATGAGCTTATCTTACATGATCTTCATCTTGATTTGCCCGATCTATGTCCGACTCTTCTTGCTCTTCTTGCTCCTCTTTCTCACTGTCCTCATCCTCTCCAGCAGTCCTCTGTTTGGTCGGACTTTTCTTACTCTGTTCCTCACTCTCCTCCGGCTCTGGTTCAAAGTTGAATGTAAAAAAATTATATGCTTCTTCTGCTGTCGGGATGCCAGTGTCAGTCTATTGACAGAAAGATGCAATATGTGAGTACAGTATTACATGGGTACTATAGAACTGAAAGCATTTTACACAATCCTTACCTTTCGCACTGCTTCTCTGAATTTAACTCTTGTGCTGAGGGACTGAGAGATGTCTTGCATTTCTGCATCAGGCTGTAAAATTAACCAAAATATGATTACAACATATGTATATTAAATAACTGAATATTCATAATGCATACACTTTCTCACCTCTCTGTCAAACCTCGTAACAGTTTCTCTATCTTTTAACTTCTGTAGTCGACTGGTTGGCTTGACACTGGATTCTTGCCGATGTATTTTCTCAACTCTTGTCTGAACACAAAGATTCAAGTATTAATACAAATATATAATACAAAACTGAAATGTGTAAAACTTACTCTGGCTGCTTGAAACTTCTCTTTCAAGCGCTGTGTCATCACGTCATCCAAGTGTTGTGAACCAGGAATTGGTGGAAGATTAGACAGACCTTAACAGACAAATTTTCATTAACTCTATTAAGCAGTCTATTATTTTGTACATATGTTTATACCGCATTTCTATTTGCGTATCTATGTATCAAAATATGACCAAATTAAATCTTTGTTTTGACTGAGATCTACCCACATATTTCCCATAATAATAGGTATAAAATTTAGCTTGACACACTTTTCTTGGCTCTTGGTGGTGTTGACCAAACCGCAGGTTCAGTTGCTCTCGCTGTTTCTTCAGCATCTTCATCCTTATGTTGAAAGGGAGAAATATCCTCCACTACATTTTCAGTATCCTCTTGGGACTGTTCAAGCAGCTACATAGGATGGGAGGATAAAGGTTAAGTTAATACACAAAAAGCAATATTCATTCACAAAAATATAGCACCTTTTTCCGCCTCTGTCTCTGAGCCCTGATTGTGCGTTTCAGAGTCTCTCCTGGGTCTTCATCACTGCTTTGATGTTCCTTTACAGAAATTGTATTAAATGTAAAGCTTTGGCATTATAAGAAATCATAGTTGGCAGTAAAATAAACATGCCAACTTAATCCGTTTGTTATGCATGTTTTGTAGCAACAGCATTGATTATGAAGCATTGGTTAGCATTAGCAATATTATTAATACTGGTCTCCTCTACGAATAACTTGCCATTTTGTAAGTGCAATAAAGCAGATTAGTTAGCCTACCTGGATGTCATTTTCCTTCTCTTTTCGTAGTGATTCTTGTCTTTTCTTTCTCACTTTACCCCGAGAATCGCTACAGAGAAACAGGACACCACCGTTTTTCAGGTTAACATTTACTGGCTTGATATCTGCGTAATTACAGCATATATTCAAGTAAAAAACTGGAAAGGAAAAACTTACCTCGGAGGAGACGCCATAGCGCCAAAGACGAGCCTTTTTACAAACAATGCAGCATCAGCATTAGCTTAGTATCTTGCCATATTATGGACTTGTTGCAAGCTTAGTTAGTCTTATTTTATCCCTTTATTTTTGGCTAAATGACAAAAGTAGGGCTGTATTTCCACATACTGCAAAGAAGCGCCGTTATCGCTGCCTAGTAACGCGATAAACTACCGTGAAACCTACTTTGTTGATAAATCTAACTTGAATGTGCAGCTTGCATGTTATTGGCCCAAGTTGCTGTCAATCAAAACACAGCCACGCCTTTTCCGGATGTGTAAGGATAGGCTTTTTTTTTTTTTTAGGATAGGCCATGGATCAGGGATAGGAATCCATGATCATAACAGGTTAAATGTAATGGAATAGTTCCAGTTAAAAGTAATTGAGTAAGTCTAATTACAGATAATGTCTCTACATGTTTGAGCCTTAATAAAAAGACAGCACATGTGTGTCCCAGCTTCTTTTCATTTTTTATTTTATTTACGCTTTCTCTCATTACCTTATAAAAAATATAGAGTATATGTATATATAAAGTTACCCCAAAATAAAAGTAGTAATTAATTTTACGAGAGACAAATACCAAGCTCTTTCTTTCCATATACTCCTTTGATTGCAGGCTATGTGCCTTCCAGCTAGGAAACCAGGCTATAGCTGTGCACTCAATAAAAATATTGTAATATCATGTTCAGACAATGTAACATTCTTAACACAATCAGTCAGTTTAACACATTTGAACACGAAGGCCAATATCTGATGACAATCATCAGAATGATCAAGTCTACCACTTTTTACTCACTCTTTAGGTTTACGTTAGATTCAATATGTACCCTATTTTTTGTTTTGTTAATTTGAAAAAAATATAGAAGACCTAAAACAAACTCCTCCTTTACTTAAAGATAACAAAGAACCTGACTTGTTTCTGCCTGTAGCTTATTACATCATGTGAAACATTCCATAGCCTGGTGTCTTTGTTGACACTTTGTCTTCTGAACGTCACGGCAAAGTGGAGGGAGTGGGTCAATTTTCAAGGAAAAGTCACAAATCTGTTTTCTGTGACCTTGAGTAACCAGCAAAATGTGGACACTGAGAACACCACAAAAAAATTCAGCTCTAATGGAGAATTTATCAGGATTCCACTTCTAACATCGTGGGACTGACTCTTTGCCAATGTACAGCTGACAACTCTGAGGTAAGGTTGAGACATATTAGAATTTATTCATGGACCGTTTATTCTGGTAGTTTGGCACGAAAGGGGGTTGATTGTATCTAACAAGAATTAAATCAAATTGGGATGGGATGAGTTGGGACAATAAATGTTCAAGTGTATGCTGTTTCCCATATATTCAGAGATCTGCCCTCATAAGCTCATGATGGATCCTATGCCCCATTCAACACAGAACATTATTTAATTGCCTCATTCATTTATTGACAATGCACTACACAGTGGTCTTATGAGCATATATATTTATGGTATTCTTAGTTGTCGTCTTGATTCTCATTTTCTTCCTCCCTGTGGTCTTTCAGTTACAAAGATGTTTCTCCCCTGTGCTTTATTAAAGTAATCCTGCATGGTTGTGCTGTTGTCAGAACTTGGGAATGTGGCAGTATTTGATTCCTCGGGACTATGAGGATGCACATGGTTGCTGTGAAATATCTTTTGAATTGTTAGGAATTCTTTCATATCAAATGCCATGTTCTCTAAATTTCAATTAGCTACTGAGCCAACTGTTGTTCTGGGCAGGGCCAAAGTCAGCGTGTGGTAAGTTTAGTACTTTTTACATTGAGGACAAGTGTTTCCACTTTCTTATTGATAATATAGGTTGTGTCTTACTGAAATAATGTCTCTCTGTGACAGTATTTTTCTTCGTCTCCACAGATTTGAGCATGTGGATGCTGGTGGCAGTGGCGTGTCTGTGTCACTGTGTCTCTGCTCAGCTGTCAGAATCCAGACTAAAGAAAACTCCTCTGGTCTGCAGCAGTGTCCCAGGACCCCCAGGTCTGCCAGGGAAAGCTGGTCCCAGTGGACCACCTGGGGCACAGGGACCTGTGGGCATCCCAGGTCGGGACGGACGGGACGGCAGGAAGGGAGAAAAGGGAGAAAAAGGAGAGACAGGTAGAGTGTTTACCAGTCAAATGGAAAGAAAAAAGGGTGGACATCCAAGAATCTTTCTATTCCACCGTTATCGATACGCTAAATACCTGTTGCCAGGAAAATTCCCTCTTGTCACCAGATGTTTGTATTTCAGGGTCGAAGGGCAGAGTTGGTCCCCCTGGTAAGACTGGGGAGCGTGGAGTTCCAGGCCCTCCAGGCAAACGGGGTCCTGTGGGAGACAAAGGGGAAGTGGGGCCCCCTGGTGGCTCAGGACAGGATGGACAGAAAGGTGACAAGGGTGAGAGAGGGATCCGAGGATTAGGAGGTGTTTGCAAATGTGGAAGCCTGCTTCCAAAATCAGCCTTCTCCGTGGGCATCACCAGTAGTTACCCCACAGAAAAAATGCCAATCAAATTTGACAAGATCCTATTTGATGAAGGTGGGCATTATAATCCGGAAACAGGGAAGTTCATATGTGCCTATCCCGGGATCTATTACTTCTCCTATGACATCACACTGGCCAACAAGCACCTGGCCATAGCCCTGGTGCACAATGGGCAGTATCGGATCAAGACATTTGATGCAAACACAGGAAACCATGATGTGGCCTCAGGCTCTACAGTGATATATCTGAACCCAGAGGACGAGGTTTGGCTGGAGATTTTCTACTCAGACCAAAATGGGCTGTTCACTGATGCTGGGCAGGCTGACAGCCTGTTCTCTGGGTTCCTCCTGTATGTAGACACAAACTACTTTGATACACTGGCAGAGGATTATGTGTAAAGGCTGATAAAAATGAATGGTGCTGGTCAAAGTAGCTACTGTCTATTATACTGGGCATCCAGTAGAGAAACTGACCAATAGTTATGCGAAGTTATGCAAATAAAATAAAACAAAAAGACATGTGAGGTTCAGGACTATGCCTTTAACTATTTAGTTATAAAGTATTTGTACTAATTTATTGCACAAAAGTTGTAGTGAGATTGTTACAAATATAAATTTATTAGAAAGTTTAGATGTAATCTGTACTCAGTGGGAGAGATATATTCTAATATTTATGGTTAACAATATAATAGTCTTGCCTTAAATCATTAGAACTCTACTGCACCACTACTAGATATGAACAGATCATGTTATCATGCTACATGTCTAACTCTGCGACAAGGGTTTCACCTGAGGGTCTTGAACAAAACTGGTGGATAGAAAACCTAAACAGCGATGGCTCTGCTCTAATGGGCTTTAACTTCACTGGAGGAGTTCGTGGAGGAGTTGAAATCTGGCTGAACTCTGCAGACTGAGAGAGAGTCACACCTTTAGCCAGAGTCATTGCCTCCAGTCGGATCGGTCCAGAAGAAATCACTGCTCTGTGTTTTGGTCTGACATCAACTTCACATCTTGGAGGCTTTAGTGTCCATTCAGGTTCTATGTGTTTTGGTTTTGGTGGTATGTTTTGTCTTGGTTTCCTGGATTTGGCATTTGACTCTACAATCTCATATTTAGGAAAAATGCAGTGGTCAGGGAAGCTTGCAGGATTTAGCTTTTTTATGGCTTCATGTTTGGTTAACAGATTTGATGGCACTGAGGTATTACTAACACTGGGCATTGTAATTTCATCTTCACTATTTTCAGTCTTCGAGGTCTGTTTTTCTGTGGAATGGGACAATGGGGGAAGAAATTTGCTTGGTTTGGCACGTATTGGTACTTGGTTATTTCTCTTTTCAGGTTTTGGTTGGGGAAAAATATTTTGCAATTTTTTGTTCATGACAACAGCAGGTTTAGGGTTTGTCTTCTTTGATGGTGGAGAAACTTTAGGCTGGGGCAATGCTCCTTTTTTTGGAAGTACTTCTTGCTCTACCTCTTTCTGGACAATATCTCATCCTGGTCAAAGATGAAAAAGATTTAAAATTTTTTACAGAATTTTAGTAAAAAGTACCCTTGCCTTCAATAACATTCTTGTAAAGAATAATGGTAATAAAAATAAATATTCATAATATGTTCAATACAAAATTTCAACAAAATACTCGACAAGTAAATCTGAGTGTGGATAAAGTCATACTCATTAAATAAATAATTTTCCATGAAACATGTCTGCCAAATGAAACATCCTAACATTATTCCAGGAGAAGATTTGTTGCTGTGGCCATACCTTTGGTGAGATGGGTCGCAGTGGAGTAGAGGGGATCACTATCGGTACACAACCCTGGGCCCAGGCATCTGTTTCAGCTGGAGGAGGCTCAGAGTCCTCAGGCAGAACCTCCTCAGCTCCATCTCCCTCATCTCTGCACAGAAAATGCTGCTCCACAATCTGCACCAGGTGCTTCTTCATCCAGTTTGTAGTATATGAGCACAGCTGAATGACAAAAATATAATCAACAGTAATTCGGTCAATAGAGCATTCAAGATTCCCACTTCTGGTCAGTGACCCACTTCTTGACCAGTGAATAGTGTCTTTGAAATGGTAAAGTTATGTGGTCTTGGTTTAGTGGATATTGCAATATGTATATATGGTTTTATAGTAATATTCAATAAATATAGGTATAAGAGACCAATATTATGTATATATATATATATATATCATAGTGTATAGTCGTGAATGAAAGAAAAATCAACAATTATCACTGAAATAACTTGAAATATATAAATATATAAATAAAATATACTGAAAATTGTCCTACAAAAATCAAACATTGCTTTTCACCTGTGGTTCAATAGAATAATTAAAAATAATAATAATAATAATAATAATGAAGCTGGCCTGGACAAAAATGATGGTACCTTTAACTTTATATTTTGTTGCACACCCTTCTGAGGCAAACTCTGCAATCAAATGATTTCTGTAACTGTCAATGAGACTTCTGCACTGGTCAGCTGGTATTTTGACCCATTTTTCGTGAGCAAACTGTTCTTGTTGTCTCAAGTTTAAAGAGAGCCTTCTCCAGACAGCATCTTTCAGCTCCTTCCACAGATGTTCAGTAGAATTGAGATCTGGGTTCACATAAGAACACTCCAGAACAGTCCAATGTTCTGTTCTTAGCCATTCTTGGGTGTTTTTAGCTGTGTGTTTCATTATCCTGTTGGAGGGACCCATGACCTCCAAGCTTTCTGACTGAGATTTGTTTTGATTTCATCTTATCAAGACATTTTGCCAGATGCAAAAAGACAGCCCAGAACAGAACCAATTTTCAGTTGGACAGTGTTTTGGTTGTGCTTCATTTTGCTGATGTGTACCTTTCTTCAAGACATGTTAATTTTTTTGGTTCCTTCAGGAACATGTCTCTCTTCAATTTGTCATTTTTTCTCTTTTGCCACGTCCAGGGAGGTTGGCTTCATTCTGTGGACCTTAAACTTCTGAAGACATGTATAACTCCTGACACAGTTCTCTTCTTCTCTTTCTCTGGTCCATGTTTAGTGTTGTCTCCATCATGTCTCCAAACAGAACAGTGACACATGTCACTCTTTAAACAGGCAGACTGACTGAGGACAAGTTTGAAGACACCTGTGATGCAGATTAGAGGACACACCAAAGTTATCATGTCCCTATTGTCCAGTTACTTACAATCTTTTCTAGGGGTACCATCCTTTTTGGTCAGGCCAGTTTCATTAGTTTAAAAAAAAAAAAAAAAAAAAATTCTGTTGAAGAACAATTCAAAAACAGTGTCTGATTTTCATTGGTTATTTTTCAGTAAATTTGTATTTATTATTGAGTTGAGTTGTTGATTGTTGATTACCAGAGGGGTTTATATGGATATATATATATATATACATACACACACACACACACACACACACACATGCACACACACACACACACATATATATATATATATATATATATATATATATATATATATATATATATATATATATATACCAAACATTACCTGGCAGTGTTTTATGTGAAATGTGTGTGAATAATATTGAGCATTTCACTTACCTGTTGTCTGATTACTGCTCTGAAACACCCATCCATGACCTTGTCGAGTAATATCTCCATGAATTCTGCTACTGCCTCCTCTGCCTCCTCATATTCCGGCATCTCTGTCCATTGTGACTGAGTGAAACGGCCTGAGAGCAGCTCCTCTGGTTCTGAGTCTGGTTCCGGACGCCCTGCTGCTGACTTCCGGGACGCAGCTGACCGGGGCATCCTGACCACAGACATGAAAGTGTCCAAGAGCCCTTTCTGAAGATATCTGTAAACAATCACAACTTTTAGATTTGCATCTAAGAACAAATCCATTTAATTTCACCCAGGCTTAGTTTCACAACGTTAAGTGACAATTTCATTGTTAATATGAGTAAATCTGGTATCGTACTAATCTGTGTGTTTGTTAGGACGGAAGTATGACTTCTTACTTTCAAAGCATAAAGATTTTCTCAGTTACAAAGACACACTATTTAACAGATTCATTTTTTTTTTTAAATAAGGTGAAGTTATCAGATGATGTGAAGATATCAGATGATAAAACCCTGCTCGTTTAGCCTGGCCCAATAAAACGTGACAAAAACAAGCACAGTTTTGTCTAAATGTGTCTGTATCTTTTTACCTGCAGAGGTTAGGCTCGTTGTTTCAAAGCTCTGTCCCTGGGATTAGAAGATTTAACCCCAGACACAATTATAAACTTTAAATTCTAACTAGCATTAAAATTCGCGTTAGCAGAACATGTTTACGGCATGTTGCCTAGCAACCAGTGGCAGGGTGACGTTACGTAACTTTCATAATTGTTTTATGTTTCTTGGTAGTTTAATTCCTGAGAAAAATCACAATAGATGTTTTTGCATTAACCAGCGTTGGTAAATATTATTCATATTATTAGGACTATAGCTGCGCTCAGTGGGAGTGTCATTCTGTGTGGTGACCTCTAGACGGTGCTACAGACATTGATCATAAAACATCTTACGGCTTTATTTTAGTGCAGGATCTTTATGTTTTGCTTACGATTTGTTAAAGACTTCAGTATTCATATAATTTGCTATTTGTGATTATTTGAAAGCTCACTTTACTGAAGGTAAAAATAATTATATTTCATCTACCCTATAATAACACCAAATAGTATAATATTTCCAAACAAAATGGGTCTTTATTTAGGAAGTGAAAGAAACAAAAGGTCGCAATCAACACCCCATTTAAATACAAAACCAAAATAAAAATAAACAAAAATCGTTTTGCATATCAAAGAACCATTCAGTAATAATTACAATCCAAGCAAACCAAACACATTTGTGAGTCTATACACAAATTAGATTTAAAAATTAGTAAATTTGACAGTAAAATTACAAATATTTAGCTTCAAAAAAATAAATTCAAATAATATATTAGCAATTAGCTTCTTAAAATTACATATTGTGTATTTTCACATAAAAGTACAAAATAATACCAATGACATTTAGAATGAAAAATAATTCAAAGTAATCTGCTACTATTAAATAAAAAAAATGTGGGAAAAACAAGATGAAAAGAAACTCGTAATATGCATGAAAAAGTCTCTCCTTTTGTTAGCAAAACACTATCCAAAATAACTACAATCATTTACATCAGTACAAAGATATCTGGATTTAAAAATAGTTGCAATGAAAAAACAGGGGTTTATTTTTCTGACAGTAAAAAATGACACTGTGGATCAGAAATCTGCAAAATATGCAATGAAAAAAATAAAATCTGCATTATATAAAGGTTTACACGGTAGATCTTACTTTTATACAAACATTAGAAACAGTATTGCACGTCACAACACAGATTCGAGGTTAGTCAGCCTTTCAAAATGTGTTATTATTCAAGTTTCAGAGCATCTACAAGGACAGGGGATCTCAAGTTTCGCCCAAGAACAAAATTAAACCTTCATATGTTTGCCTCCTTCAAATTAAAACAATACAAAAGTCGATGCTGCTCCTAATGACATGATTCTTTGTTTTTCCATGTAACATAATTGGGGAAAGGGGGGGTAAATAAATTGTATAATATATAAATAGAAAAATACAATCAAAATCAAGTCATTTGTCTACAAAAATAGTGAAATAAATATGATTTTCTTTACAAAAACAAAGACACATACAGAACAAAGTAACAGTGTTTTAACATAGAAAATCACACAAAAACAGCACAAGTCAAGTGTTACAGGTGACGATATATTGTGAGAACTTAAGCCCCAAAAAGTCAAAATTACAACTTGACTCCCACGGCCTTCAACATCAAAACTACATTAGAATATATTATAGAAAATATTTAATTCCGGTGTACACAACATATATTATAATAACTTAAGACCACTGCTTCACTACATCCTAACGTATGCAAAAATAAAACTTTATAAATCATCTGTAATTATAAATAGGCGGTTTTGTCATTTTTTGGGGGAGAATCACACTGGGGCAAAAATAACAGGCGTGGGGGTATATAGAAAAGTAGTGCATAATATAAAAAGTTCCAAATAGGGGGTTCAGTGACAAGTTAAGTAGTCCACACAAGACATAAACTGAAATTATTGCCGGTAAATAAATTTCCAATAGGTCTCGTTTTAGTTTTGTAACAGCACGCACCTGAACACTGAAAAAGACAAAATCACATCGACATAAAAGTGACACAGCTACAGTACCGAAACGGATTGACAAAAATGCCAGTCCTCACGTAAAGATTGTCCCATAAGAGTAATCCAAAATTCAAGCAAGCCATCAGACCTTTTTCATTAAAGATATTCCAGTAAAAGACATTGCCAAGTTGACCAATGATCTCTGAAAGTCATTCTCTGTGCTATTTTGGTCTGCCGTGGCATTGCTAACTCATATATCAGCTTTGGAAACATACATTATTTAGTGGGTTAAAGGCAGAAAAGATGTTTGAATTCTCCTCTCTGTTACTAAACTAGAGCCTCAGTCGACGTAAAGCACACACAGCACGGGGACAACACGAAACACGGACCACTGGACACCACTCTGCTTCTCAAAAGGGTATTTTTTGCCATACAGGCCACCGTATCAAAAAGATGGCGTCCACTAAATCTACAGTAGAACCAATATCACTTTTTGTATTGTTTAGTATGTAAACAACAGATAAACATCGACACATGCAAGTTTAAATAGTGTTTCATTATTTATGTCTGTAATTTTTTTCCTCTAAACACCTGTATTAGATGTTCATGCTACTTACTATAGTAATTAAATATCTTAAATTATCGCCACATTTGTACACCTATCTTTGCTGTGTTTTGTCAAAGTCACATGTATCCTGCATGCTTTTGTGAAGCTAAGCCTATAGAAAAAACATGCACTTTTCATGGCATTGGGGGCCATAAGTGGTTAAGTGCATACTGCATTGTAATTGACGTGATTCTCATTACTAATAGCGTTAAATATAATCCCTATACTAATATTTATGTATACATAGCAGCAAAGCTTTAAAGAGCTTGTAAAATTTTCATTGGAGTGAATATAGTTAGCAGAAACCAGAATTGGGATTTTGAGGTATCACACTACTGTTTTCATAAATTTTTAGTCTATGGCAAGAAACAACTGTATTTTGTTACTTCCTATGTTGTTGCTACCTTTGGTCATGACCTAGACATAAAAGAATTGAGGTTTTTATCCCATTAACAAATGTGCACTTCACGCACTGTTGTCGGGTGGCTATAGCAGCAGACAGACAGACAGACGAGCTGCCCCCATGCAAAAAACATTCCCGTATCTACTTTGAAATCTCACATACAAAAATAATGGTAATAAAAAAACCTACAAAAATCAATCTCTTCTTTTTTCATTTTAAATCTCCGTTTAGAAAAGATGAACGTACCACAAAAAGGTTGTTATCAGCCTGAGATGTGAAGGGGAGATTTGGTGAAAAACATAGGCTTGTGGTGTTTGGCTGCTACAAAAGATATAGATATATATGTTTCGAATATACTGTTTAGTGCTACGTACAGGATTATACTGACAGGAAAGCAGGGGAGGCAGAGAGACCATGAGTTTCGTCGCACTCATTGTGGTGGGTTCTTTCTAATTCCAGCGAAAGTGGATCTGCCGTGGTCGGTCGGCGCCCTCTTTGACCAGGGGCTTGTGGAACTCTCGGCCGGCCCGTGAGTGGATGTTGGCCCAGCAGAACTCGCAGTAGTACTGGAGACAGGTGACGTTAGCGCAGAAGAAGGGAGCAAACTTCCCCCCACAACGAGCGCCCTGACACTCATCGCACAGCTGGTCATCCAGGACGTAGGGCTTCACCTCCACCTGAAAAAAAGCACAGAATCGTTAAAAATGCTACGGCAATAAATGACACAATTAGGATTTTGCCTTTCATTTGTTTTTATTTTTTATTTGACTGCACAATTTAACTATAGGGATGAAAGTTAAGTCGGCCAGGGAGAAACATTCAGTGTTAGTTTTATATTCATCAAGTTCCCGGTAGAACTATTTGCATTTTTTATATCTTAATTTTCATTTTCAGAGCATTTTCTACACATTTCCACTTTCATTTGTAGCCACTGTTGCAACCTGAATGGCTTTTCTTCCTAATTTCTAAGCACTGATTCAAACATAAAAGCTGACCCATCCCATGTAACCAATAAAGGACTTTTATAATATTTCCAACAGAGCGTCCCAGACCTTTTTTGACTGCTTTTTTAAAATCTATCATATGTAAGTTTTATGGTCAACTTCACTGTTTGTTAACTTTGAGCCTTGTCCTTGACTTGTTCTGGACTTTTAACAAAGAAAATATCCCATGAAGCTCTCAGTCCTTCCATGTTTTTATGAAAGCTTGCACTTAAAAAACAGGAACACTGGGGAATTTTCCATTGTGTTCCGTTCAATGATGTTGGTGATAATAACAATAGCTTAAACAAATACTGTATACTGGTGCACAAAATGATAAGACCCCAGTGTAACAATAAATTGTGAGTTCACACACATACCCTCTTGTCAATGTCTCCATGCTGCAGTTGGACAAATCTGGCACTGATAGCTGCGATGTAGCTCTGCTGGTTGGAGAAGGCCACTCGTCCCGCCCCCTTTGGGTATTTAAGCTCAGGGTCTGTGTCTATCCCGGCGTAACACACTCCTCCATACAGACGGTCCATGATCATCGCCAACTCAACTGCACACAGAAGTACACAGATTAAGTATGTGGAAATTGGACACATAAAAAGGCACCAAGAAAAATATGACCAAAACTGAATGAATATAGTAGTATTTTTTTTTCATTATTGTGCTTACTGGCTCTAAGGGGGCGAGGCACTCCTCCCACAAAGATGGTCTTACGGGGGTCCAGAGGCTGAGATCCGTCCATTACAAAATCACTGTCGCTCAAGTTCCAAGGGCGGATCTGAACCTGCAATAGAAGCACAAAGCAACTTTAAAAACATTAAAACATTAACATAAAAAAACAATATTGATCAAATTCTTAATCATTGTACAGGTGATAAATTACGAATTTGTCTTTCATAACAAGTCAAATCAAGCTAGCCATTGTTGAAGTTTTGGTAAGTGCTAATAAACAAAATGAGTTTCTTGGCTTGTAATATCATCATCAGCAGCAGTGTTCATTTTGTCTGATTTTCACAGTGCGCAAAACATTCACTAGATTATATTTGAAGAGCTCATTTGCAAAAACAGATAAGTGCCACTTGAAATTCACTATTTGTCCTAGCAATGTTTTCAAAAACCAAACTGAGTTTAGGCAATGAAAGAAAAATTCATCTTTGGGCAAATTCACTCAACAAATGCAACAAGATGGTAACAAAAATGCAAAATTACAATATATATATAAAAAATGGGTTATGGCTATTTTAAAGTGTAGTTATTATAAAATGTTATAAGTGTTACATTCAAACTGGTTTATAGTTTAATATGAGTATTCAAACCACTGTGGTGAAATCATGTAAATGTATTAAAATGCTGTGATATGGACTATGTGGGTGTTACTCACAGGCTTGTCTTTGATGGTGGGGCTGGATACACACAGGTAGAGCTTCCCGTCCGTCCTCCTCCATACAGGCCTCGATGAGAGCCTGCACAGAGCTCTCCTCCTGGAACAGCAGGAAGGCGTATCCTGGAGACACAAGCACGGTCAAACAACATATGGCCATAACACTTGCTCACATAGCACTGCTGCTGGGAGAAAAACACAGAACTACAATCAAATCAATTTCAATGCATTTAATAAATCTTAAAGGTAGCTATTATTTAGGTCATATACTGTCCACTGTTTTTTATTTTAGCATGTGAAAAACTAAGCTTAGACTTCTGGAAAAGCAAAATGTTATGATTCTAGCATTTTATACTTGAGAAATTAATTTCAATAGTAAATGCCCTTGGTCTTATTAAAAAGGGAGAATCAATTTATAAAATTAGAAAGTTTGCTTTTTAATAGCAAAATATAAATGCCACAATTGCTATTTACAATTATAGGATTATATTATAGTTAAATTTAGTTAGGAATTAGGTTTTAAATCATGCTGAATCCTAGTTTAATCCTGGTTTAGTTATGATTTATAAATTGCTACATGGACTATCATTAATTCAAACATACTATAGATAGACAGATGTTGATGTTGTTATTAAAATGCAAGGCTCCAGCCAATCACCACTCTCATATCTCAGATGTATAACATAGATTATAAAATAGATTTGATGTGGCATGACTTTGTTTGATTTTGATGTTGCAGAATCAGCAAATTAAAATGCTTATACCTTTAGGTGGAAAGTAGGACTTGCTTTCTGCTTTGTGCGGCCAATCAACAACCAGGTGACCAAAGCGGCGGAAACTGGATGTTATTTCATCTGAGCCATACAGAAAAGAGACATCAGGTCAGAATAAACAGAACATTTGAATTAACAATGTAACAAAAATGTTCCCTCACCTTCATCTATGTCAGGGGGCAGACCTCCCACAAACACTTTTCGGGAGAAGCGCTCAATGCGTTCCCCGTTCTGGTGCGGGTAACAGTTGAGTCCCGGGACGCCCTGGTTCATGTGGCCATCGTCAAGGAGATTGTCATCAATAGGAAACAGAGATGAGCGACCTGATGAAAAAAAAAAAAAATCTCATTTAGTCCAAGAGCTAATAAAATACAGGCACATAAAGCAGAAGCAATCACAAACACAATTCCACTCAGTCCAATCACCATCTGTCGTCTAGGTAACAACATCATGGTACAATATTCATTTCAAGTTAACAATGCAAAATAAAAATATTTTCCCATTGTTTTAACTCTGGAAACTGGAGAAGTGGAAAAAGCAAGCTGTGCGTCACAAAGCAGTTATTGCAGTAAGCTGTTAAGGTCACGGGCCAATGCTGAGACCTGGTATCACCGTTCTAGTTTTGCTCCTGTCACTATTGTCTTAACTAATATTATATAATGATTGATGACCCATTTTAATTATCCACTATTTCCAGACTTGAGGCCTCAGTTTGGTGCCCGTTCAAGCTGTAAGCATGCCACAATAAAAGCCACAAAATGTTGTTTCAAATTTACCTCGACGTCTCCCATAGCCTCTAGCTGCATGTAGAGAAGTAAGAGCACATTTCAGCTGGATATACATTTAAAAAATACAACCCTTTCTTCCTTTAAATAAGTGTACATGTATTTACTATTATCAGTAGTAATGTGTACCCAGTTGGTTTCTGTCTCAAGGGAAAATCACCAAAAACAGTTTCATAGTCATTTCCAAATGTGATCTACGACTGTCCCGCTGAGACAGTTATAAAACACTATTATTTTAGAGGCAGAGTACACCAGCTGTGTCAATTCTGAAAATGAAAAAAGCTTAGGTTGATATAAAAGGAACAGCTATAACTCGAGGTCAAAGGCTTTAACAGACAAGCAAACAAGACTATTTTATTGAAGAAGAATACAGAAACAATCATCTATAATAGCCTAGTAGAACTTTTAACCTGACATCATTTCAAGTACTCCCTGCCAAGTGTTTGAAGGGAACACTTCACTATAGTACCACACTATGCGTAGTATTCGTAGTACTACAAATGTTAGCGTGTATGATCTGATCTGCGAAGCGTATTGGGTAAATGTATTGGGCCCTCAGTTGAGTGGGATGCAGTGCACGCAGGGGGAACACAGACAGAACTAAATCATAATTACCATTGAGCATGAGAAGGCCCTCTGCCCCGGGGTAAGGGCATCCCACACGGCCTGATGTGACACACACACACGCACACACACACGCGCGCACACACACATACACACACATTCATAAGAGGAGGAACACAGACAGAGCAGATGGAGAGGACAGGGTCAGACAGCAGCATCACAACAGGAAAAACACAACTACAATGGCTGTCTTTGAACGCACCACAGCGGATTGGTCACATGGGCAGCACGAGGAAGAAAAGAGCTATTTATCCACAAACACAACTGGATGATCAGGCTGGACAATGTCAGATATGCAGCTGAAATATGCACCCACAAGGCTGTATGATGGAATATTTTAGTTAGCTGTCATGTTTGTTATAAGGTTTAAAATCCTAGTAATGTAATTTGATAGAGGAGAATAACTTTATATAAACTTTATAAATAATAATCTTTGCATGGGGGGGTCAGTGTTGTCTGTTTTTACTACAACCAGTCAAAGATACATTATGTAACTTTATAGTGAAGGATCTGACACAATGACGTAGTATTTGGCGGTGCAGCTGATGCAATGTACTGGGGCCTACGGCACTTTGATGGCCTATAGCAAGGTAGGATTGGCCCCCCTCCCCAGTACAGACTCAGTATAAACGGAAGTGGATTTATGTTTGTCACACAGGGATGGGTCAAGATGGTGTGGGCTGGAGGGAGGAGGGAGCCCAGCACCAGACTTGTACCGGGACCTTACGCAGCTACACTACACCACTGATCTGACACCTGCTTGTCTTACTGGACATGTTTTCGCTGTGTCTTGAATGTTCCAAAATATGGCACTAAACAACAACCAGGCCAAGTTACAGGTCAGATCTATCAAAAGCTGACAGCACTCATAGCAAGAATGCATTTACAGAATTATTGTTTTTTGCACTAAACACCTGTCACTGAATGAATGCCATACTGTGGAACATATTAGACAACAATCACTATGGAGAAAAGCAGGTGGGGGACATTTTACAATTAAAATCACATAGTGCTCCTATTATGAGAAATGTGAAGATGGGATAAGGTTTTATATATAACTACAAGTCACTTCCTGATATTCTATCATTTTATTATTTGATGTAAAGCCAAGATAGAGGACTGCTTAGTGTTAAATCTCTAATATTCATATTCAATGTGCTAATTGCTAAACATGTAAACCCTTCCTACTCACCTCTTCCAGCTGTCCTACCACAATAGTTCATCCACTCTTTCATACTGCGCCCTGTCTGTGTTTTGTTAGCTGTGGTGAGCTCTATAAGTGCCCCGTGCCCTCCTCTCTCGCTCTCTCTCTCCCTCTCTCCCTGCTCTTCCTCTCCGGGCTGTCATACGCAGTGTGTCAAAGCACCATTGGGTCTAAATTTAGCCTGGATGGCCCTCTCCTGCTCTGAGCACTGGGCCATGTCCTCTCCATCTGCTGATACTGCTGCGGAGAACAAAAAACTCAGCACCTATTTGTCCTAATATTACAGGATGCTAAATGTGGCTGGGTAATTAATCCACACTAATTAATATGGTCTAACATGCTAGAGTCCTTACCGCTGTCAGTTTCTGTCATAATTAAAGGATAATACACATCTCTAACACACAATACAGGATATAAAATTATGAACATGTCAATAATATGTATAACAGGGCAGCATAATATATTAAAACTGAATCAAAATCACAATTTGAGTGCAATTATTAAATGGAATTATTTAGGAAAACTCTTATTTTAAGTTTTATTTTATATACATTTTATTTTAAAAATGACTAGTTTAAATTATTTTCTGTATTACTTTATTATCTCAAATGTTAATGCTCCTGGTTACAAAGTGCACTCTGAACATAGTCCAACATACATTGCAAAATAAAAAATTAAAAAATCACAATGGCAATACTTAAAACAGTAATGATAGTATTATGTTTTTCATATTTAATACATGCTTGTGGTAGTTATTTAGTTTATAATTTATAAACAAAATGTGTGTATACAAGACAAATACTCATATACTTGAGGTAATTCTAACAATGACACTATCTTCCCTTAATTTGACTTTGTTTGACACAGTATGTTTGTTATTGGTGGGTGGTTTATTGGAGCTAAACTGTGAGCTGTAAACCAGTCTCATTTAGAGCAGGTTATTTGACACTGCTGCTCTAATGTCCAGCAGCTGAGCCTCTGAGGCCAGTGTCAGGCTACACTCTCTGCTACTGCCAATCTACCTCCACTACAGCTGCAAAGCAACATCACTCCATGGACTCTTTTTTCTTTGACTTTTATCAGGTCAGTATGGATGTATGGATGTAAGTATCTTCATAAACACAAAGGTAACCCAAGCGAATTATCAAGTCAAATAGATAAAAGAAGAAATGTGACTTTTTGAATGATTATTATTGCAGTATTAATTGGATTGAAAATATTTAGTATGGCAGATATAAATATTAAGCTATCTTAGAGTGTTTAATGGTACTTTGTGGCACAATGCTACTTTTACTCTTTTGGCAACTATTACCACTATACTGCAGCTACTACACCTGCTACTACTAATGAGTACTAATACTATCACTGCACCTCAATAGTTACAACAACTACAACTTATACTAATACTGTTTCCAACTCTTACAACAACTACTGCTGCTGCTCCTGCTACTACTACTAGTATTTCGCGTCAATTAAAGACATCCCGTGACAGTATAGTTTTCAGCTGAAGTGGAAAATGAGCACACAGGCCTGGATCTTTGCATTGGTCTAGTACACACACTCTGTCTGCCCAGAGTAAACCCGATCTGTCCATTTGACCTGGTAGGGCAGAGAGAAAGGGAAAGGAAGGCAACCTTACCTTTCATAGGATCCTGCTCGGCACGCATGATGTCGATGAGGGAGCTCTCCAGGGAGTGCATGTTCAGACTGTCGTACATCCGAGAGCGGTCCTGGAAACACAAGTGTCGACAAATTATGGAGAGATTGTCTTACTTATTCATGAAAATCACAGGAATAGAAAGAAACCAACTCATCATAACAGCCCAGCAACATCCATTCTGTGTAAAAATCTTCCTTGTATTGTAATTACATAATATATATATATATATATATATATATATATATATATATATAATATATATATATATATATATATATATATATATATATATATATATAATATATATATATATATATATATATTTATATATTTTTTACTTGTATATATACATTTATATAATTATGTCTTACTCGACGCCAGTCTCTAGTTATTTTTGCAATATCTGTAATGTATATAATATATGGTGGTGTATGAGCTACTGTGCCCAAATAATTTCTTTTGTGTATTTATAAAGATTGTCTAAAAAATCTACAAAAAACAAACCCAAAACATTTCAAATGTAAGTGTATAGTTGATAGATTAAGCACTACTACCATTCCTGTTCAAAAATAGGAAATGTTGTTGAACGAATCAATGGTGATAGAAACCATTTTAGACTTTAATCTGATTATCTTTTGGTGGCTACTTGAATGTAAGTAGACTCCACTCTGCTCAGATAAGCTCACATTTTGGTCACACATGTATAAGCCTTTTAGATTACTGTGTAGTAATTAAGTCCTTGGCTTTAAATGCCAAGGATTTTAAGTCTAACTAACTCACGTTTGGATTAACATTCTTTCCGTATTTTTCCCATTAGGGGTTATGCGAAGGTATGTTCTTGGACCTGTTCCCAGAGAGAAAAGTTACACTGACCTGGAGAGGCATGTAGTGTGATACATAACCAAAGCACAGGTGTGTGCTTTTGAAGTAGTCAAAAATAACATATAACAATATTTTATACAATATATGAATTTATTTTTTAACATTCCAAATACAATTATTAGATCTATAGTCAAAACTATTATGTTGCATTGCTCATGACTTTTGCTTTCTATTACTACAATCACATTTAACGTGACAAAAAGCTGGAGAGTTGTCTAAACCTATAAAGTATAACATTTGAATGTTGTGTGTGCATCTGGATAATATTTCAGTCCTTCTCTCTCTAATGTGTCCACGAAACATAAAACAGAGAGGAAGGAAGGAAAAGACTTGGAATCTGAAAAATCCTGGATTCAGAACTGTTTATGGAAATGAACAATCCTGTGTGCCGGGGCTGCTTCCTGGAATAGGAAGTGCTGTGTTTCTTGGCAGTGATATTGATAATCATTTGAGCTCAAAGCAACTTTGTCATACTATTATTGTCCCTTTAGTGAGTCTGTTTTGATTCTGTTGAAAAGACTAATAAAATCCATATCTGTTACTTGTTTCAAAAGAAGGAAACTCTCATATAAGGTGCGGTACTTTATTGAGCTATTAGTGAACTACAAGGTGAAGGGGTTCTTGTGTTCACTACTGATCAGGTGTTAGGAAAATAACATACTTTGAGTGCATATAGATGAAATACAAATTGTTTTTATCCCAACTATATTAACACATTAACACAAAACACTAAGGCTACAAATCCCAAAGGGTGCTTGCAATAATATTAAGATAATATTGTCTTCTGCATGTAAATATGTAAAAACCTTCAAAGCCTGAAATTTACCTTACCTTTAACCTCTACAAACATGACTGAACATTAGCTAAAGCAACGCTGTGTAACCTGCATCATTCCGTGGAAACAGAAAGTTCAAACTATATGATCATTCTCCATGAAGAGAGATGAGTTTTTATGGAAAATTATAGCCATGGAAACAAACAAACGCGTCCAGGCTTGAGTTTATGGAGATGCAAGCACGCTCACAGTAAAAAAAAAACACAAAATGAAAAAAGTTGAATTAATTACAGTCTATTTTGGGGTTAAAAACTTACAGTATGGAGCTATGAGTAGTTTTAACATTCCCAGTAAAAATACGATGTGAATTGGAGCTTGGTTTGAAAAACAAATCACAAATAAAACTGCAATACATACAATACCACACATGTCACCTTATGTGAACTCTGTAGCATTTTCATTCTTTTCTTGCAGATTTGTCCCATGCCAGCTTGTCTACCTGAAGCACACCTTTAGAAAAAGCCCTGTCACCCTGCACCCACTATGTCACACCTTAGGTTAGTTAGGACCCCTCCCCTGTTACTGAAATTCAAAAAGTACCACTACTACTTCAGTGGAGGGGCTTGATGTCATACAAACAGTCCCCCCCCCTCCAATGTGCATTAGTGTATTAACTAATCAGTATGTGGTAGCCTTTAGACGTTGAATAGACGATCAATAGATGGACATGGTGGAATAATATGCCTATGTCTACTTGAATATGTAGTGTAGTAGTAGTATTATAAATACTCTACGACTACTACACAGCGATATGCTATGGATATGAGTACATCTTGTTACACATTAAAAAAACATATACTTAGTGCTACTAACTTTTAGGGTAGAATCTGCAGGCTTTGAGAACTAAGAATATATTATTGGCCTACATTACATTATAATGATGAAAAATTAAAACAGCCGCCAAAGCACTTAACAATTTAAAACCTAATATCTATTCTTTTGAAAGGTGAAACGCCCAGCAAAAATAACATTTGTTTTACACTATTTCTACAAAACGCATTTATTTAGTTGGTTGTTAGCTATTTACTCACAATGCACAATTTATTATCATTGCTATTTTGTGCATTGAATATTTATATTAAAAATATGTGGCCACCAAAACGAACCAGACCTACCATTCTCCCTCATTTAACCAGACCAGTCCCTGTATAGGCTTGGCACTCACCTGGAGGGGCAGGAGGGAGTTGCTGTTGCTATCTGTGCGAAACATGTTCTCTTCGATCCACGACTTGGGTCCCAGCGGTCCGGCGGAGCGTGGGAACTTGGGGGGAGCAATGACATTACTAGAGAAGGGCTTTTTGAGCGGAGAGAGGTGGCTGATGGACCCAGGTACGCCTAGACCACTCCCCCCTCGACGGTGGTCTCTGCCCCAGGACATCCCTCCGGAGCCCCAGCCGTTCCCCTGGTGGCTGCTCCATGGAGAGGGCTTCACCATAGGCTACACAGGTGACAAATAAAACACAGGGTAGGACTTGGTCAGTGTACCTACATATTTATGTCATGAAACCTTTGATCACAGTTTCATGCTAAATGTTATGGTACAAAATGTGGTTTACAATATTAAGCTTGGGCTAAACTGTCCACAAGTTGATGAGTAACACTACCATCAAAATGTTAAAAGGATAAACCCCAAATAAGTACATATTAACAGCTAACCTGTAAAAGTGGCATCTGATTTTAAAACAGTCATTTGAACGCAATTAAACTGGAAAAGATCTGATGAAAATAAAAAGAATGGATATAAAGTGATGACTGCATTTTTCTATGTAATGTTTATTCACATTTGTGCAATAACTGAACTTCAACCAAGACATGGTACATGAACAGTTTTGGACACTGGAGAAATATCATCTCCGTATCTAAATAAAGAAATATTTATTTTGGCCATTATCTCACACCCCTTACCATAACCTACATTGAAAAAGACACATGAAAACCATTACAATTGTTTCTCAAACCACAGCTTGAGAAGCACTGTGCTAGTATAACGAGGAGCGATAAGAAGCTTTAGAGCTTTAAGTCTAATACCAGGCATCTCGTGCACTGCTAGTGTAAGTTACACTGCACTCAGCCGGCACCTGCTCCCTGCACTCATGCTCACATCATCTCACTAAATACAGCTTCTCCTTTGCAAATGGTTAAAAACATGTTTGGAGCACAACTGTGAACAGTCAAATTTATCTGAAGTTTAAGTTGCCCATTCCACACAAGCTTATCAACACTAAGTGTTTGTTGCAGTCAAACAAATCCTTCTGCAATGTAATCTGGAGTAGTCACAGGACTGAATGAGTGACAGATATGAGGAGTTGCTTCATAAGTATGACTGAGACGGCTTGAGCAGGAGCATAGCAGCAGTGGTCACTAAACTAATGCCATGCTGCTCATAGGCTTTGAATATATCAGCATTCTCTGAATACATATGCTAAATATTAATGTGAAAACAGAACAGTGAATATTATAATCACATTATACTGTTATTGAGAACAATGTTAAACATAATCATATTCTGCTAATATTTGGTATCACTACTAACCATATTTTAATACATGCAATATCATAACAATATTTAACCTCATAATAACAAGACAATAAACTGATGTTATATGCCTATTGTTATTGCAGCCAGACAGGGCAAGACAGACTGAATTTCAGAGAGATAAGCCTATAAATTAAAAATTGTTTTAGATTATATTTATTCATTGTGAATCTTGAAAGTATTTGCATGTGGCTCTAACCAGGATCAGAGGTTAAAGGTCAATGATGCATGAGATGCAAAAGTTGCAGCCTCAGAGGAATCCACGCCCTGTTTGCAAATCACATGAGGAAACCCACAGCTCATGCACCATCTCATTCAGTGTGTAGTGACGGTGTCTTTACACAAGCCCGTGACCCCACATGTCCTTTCACCATCAGCGCCATAATGTCCTCCAACTTCACTGGACCACTGAAGGCACCATCAAACCATCAATGTCTTGGTATTGAACCAGCCACAGTCATGTGACCACTTCCCTTTGCCTGCTTCCAGGAAAGAACAGCAGCAGTATTCAGAGATGCTCTGATCACCAGATTTACCCATCCTTTTATCGGCCCTGAGAGTGCTTTGTCATCTAAACAGATACAGGACAAGATTGTGGAGAAATGTGGAATATTTTTGAAATTGAGAAATGAATATTGACATTGAGCAGAGATGGAGGCTACGAATGCACTGAAGTGTTGCTTCTGTAGCCTATTTTTAGGCATATTTTGTATGACTTTGTATGTGGGATGATAGTATGTTCAGGACGCTAATATGATTCACTTTTGACAATCAGTGTAACAATTGCACAGTGGTAGGGTGTTATTACTAGTAGTTAGGTTACTCCTAGATGGTGCACCAGTAACTCTGATGTTTAGTTTATTTTGGTGCAAATGAATGACAGGGAACATTTAGACAGTGACATGTCAGAACATGCCCTCATAGCCAATGGACATTGTTCAGGCTCAACTGACATTTGCCTTTAGCCCATAGAAAGCCCGGGCATGTGTCACAAGATGCAGCTTGGCCTATGGACCCTTCAGTAGCCACTATAGTGATTATTCATAAAATACTGATTTGACCTCTCCCTGAGGCAGACTGTGGTCATGATGGAGAAGATACAACCGGAAGTGGAGGAGGTAATGGCGGCCATATGTGTGACCTGCGTGTGCCGTGCGCTCACCTGATGCTGGTTGTAGTTGTTTCTCTGCTGAAGGAAGGCGCCCTGCTGCGGGTGCATCTGGGGGCTGACCGGGGACCTGCGGCTCTGGGGCGGCGGGGGCACGTTCATCTGCGGGGAGAAAGGGCCACTGAAGCCCTGCACGTTAATCCCGGGACACGGATTAGCTGATACCGGCGAGAAACTCTGGAAGAAGGCCGGGTTTATGGAGGAGGGAATGCCGGGGTAGAAGCTGTTGGAGTCTGAATCTGTGCTGGGCATCTGGTTCATGGTGTGCACGGGGTTGATGGGTGCGGGCGGGGGAGAGGAGCTGGTTTGGACCGACCACGGGGTACCGAAACCAGGAAGGGAAGGTGAGGTGGACCCCCCACTGGCGCTCTGCATCTCTTGGGTGGGGTTAGGGAAAGCGGCGCTGAGACCCCCGGATAACATGCTGGCAGTGCTGCTGCCATTGCTGTTGTGGTGGGCGATGGGGGAGTCCATTTGGATCGTTTTTACGGAAGTGGGCGATGGCGACGCAGCATCAGTTTGAGTCTCTTCCAGGGAAGAGTCAGCGCAGAGCCGGGTGTCTGTCTTCTCCAGCGGGGGGCTCAGACCAGGCTGCAGATGGATTTTATGACTGTGCTGAAGGTCACTGATAGACAGCGTCGTGTAAAAAGGCTCGGTGAAAGTAGTCCTTTGGTTCAGGAGGTTGTACACGGACGTGAACGCGCACAGCTGACTGTCAGGGCTGTGGCGGTGGTCCGGTCGTTTCTCGGTGGGTTTAGAGCCGCTGTCGCTGTCCTTCTCGTCGTTAGACGGGGGTGAGTGTGTACTGGTCACCCCAACAGGCTCATCCTGCATGTTTCGCGGATGCGCAGCAGCTGACACAGACAGCGGGGGCGCAGCTGAAGGGCGAACCGGGACAGAGCGTCGACGGTTCCTCCGGTTCCGCTGTGGTCGATATACACTATGTTAAGTCAGTGAATGTATTTCGACAGCGTTTGAAGAGCTCTTTGACAGTGCTCGCCTTTGAATAGTCAGTAGACAGAGAGGAGGGGGTCTGGCCTAGGCTAACACACGGCTCGTTCCTGTCGTCGTGTAGGCTTTGCTGGGTGATTTTTACGCGTCTATCTAAAGTCCTAGTGGATCGGGCCTGGTAGCAGCCTATAGCCTAGCTCCTGAGTTCCATCGGTGTCCGGTCCGGCCGTGCTACCCCCTCCTCTGTCACCTCCCGGCTGCGCTGCTGCGGCACTGGATTAAAGCTCCACGACGCCGCCTACGTCATGACCGCATCACGCTTCGGTGCGCGCGCCTCCAGCTCGAGCTGCATAGAGGACCGCATTGTTTACGTCATGTTTTCATTATTCATAAAGTGCAGAAGGCCTCCGCCCTCTTCAGGACCTGGTCCACACTGGCACTGGTCTACCCACAGAACACCAGCTTATTCACAGCTCTCATTATTATTATTATTATTATTATTAAGTGCGCTTCCTGGTTAGGGCAATATGGCAACTCTGCTCCCCCTAAATTTCATCTCAAACCAGAGAGAGAGATTCAAATGAAGACAATATAATAAGTTTGGTGAGTAAACCTGGCAGGGAATAATGGACAATATACACTAGGTGTAGAGAAGGACATGAGAGAAATATTCCCCCCTGATGCTTAGACACTCATGGTGGTGAAAATAAAAATCTCACCTACCCCCATCTCCACCCACTTTTCTACACTAATATGTGTTTATTACATTTTCTTTACTATGGGTCATATAAGATTAAACACAAAACTTAAACACAACAATAATAAATGTGAATCCACTTCTGGCTAGAGTGAACTGGTGAATGGACCTTTTAAAATTATTCAGCCATTTATCAATATTGCAGTTTACAACAAATAGGATGTTATAATACTAAAAACTACAGAAAATAGGCCTCTATATGTCCTCTCTAAAGCTGGGATGTTTGGGCACGATTGTCCACACTGGTGTTTGTGCTCTTTGCGATGCCTGTTGGAGTATGTCCCAGGCAGGAGAAAGGACATATTGATGATTGATGTGTCAATCATCAATATGTAAGAGGTCAGACGTGTGTCAACTACTACTGTAACTATTCACTCAGAGGCTTCTAAATGTTCAGATATTAAAATCTTTTTAAGCCTCTGTTTCACTTATGAACTTGAATCTTCAAATCACCAGTAATGCCACCTTTTCTTGGACTAAAAATGTAACAAATACATGATCATAGTTAATGCAGATGATACAGAAATAACAAAGGTGTTGTCATGTTATTATAACTGTCAGATTTGGGATGGGTGGCAAGCCAAAAAATCATGAAGTTTTTTAAAGCTGAGACCATGATTTTTGATTCAAATTGGGTTCTATATTTGTCAAAAATATTGCCAATATTGCATAGGAAAGTACAATGTTATCGATCGAAAACTGGCCCTTGGGGAGCTTCTGGGAGTATGACATTCTAATCTGAAGACGACTAATGGGTGATCAGGTTAAACATCTGTAAATTAACATTAACACTATGACTGAATATTCCCCCATCTCCATTAAATATTCTTACTTTGTGTTGTCATGTCAGTTGAAGCGCAGTAATAGGAGCTGCACATACAAACTTCATTCATTTCATTTATTTATTTGTTTGAGCCAGGTACAACAAAAATTCAAAAACAATAACAAAAACAGGGATATGTACATGAACATATTTGAGACCTGGTGCTCTAAAGGAGTAAGGTGAAGTTTAAACTTGCATATCATCTGAACTGTACAATCAAATATATATTCCTTCCAATAACATAAATTGTCAAAACATGTTGATGTTTTCTCCAAATAATTTTGCTCAAGTTGTTATATAGAAAGTCAATTTCTAAAGCTCTCTTGTAACCAGCAGGGTAGAAGTATCTCATTTGTACATCTGTATTCAGGCCAAAGTGCTGTGCGTCTGCTCCATCGTCACTTTACGCACAGACCCTGTGGCTAAATTTAGTTTTCTCTGTCAGCTCGTGTCAGGAGCAATGAGTCCTCCTCTTCTGAACCAAGGCTGACGAGAAATACAGACACTTAATCTACTTTAATGGTCACCAGCAACACTAGTATCATATGCTCCAAATACCCCAGAGAAAGTCTGATATACTGTAATGAGTTTGTTTTGGAAATGACAACAATGTGACGACATACATACTTTTACTTATGACACAACGGTCCAGAATGTCATTAAACAGCTATGCTACTAACCCAGCTCTAAATAGGCATTAAAATAAACTGCCCAAAAGTACTTTAAATTATTCACTTAATGGAAAAAGATAAATTTTTTTGTGCCATTGATAGATAATTTTACATGTCAAATCATATCTATTCAAATACACACAGCCTACAATATTCTTAATTCAGATAATTTTATATGATACCTACATTTCGCAGTGCATACAGTAAGGAAAGGAAGTGAGAGTTAATTGTCAGTGTGGGGAAATTGTCCTCCACCCTGTCAGGAGCAGCGGACAGGTCAGGAGCAGTGCAGCGCCTAGGGACCCTATCCATTTCTTGAGGATTTTACCTATTGGGCATTTTTTGGGTTGATGGTGGAAACTGGAGTGTCCGGAGGAAAGCCACTGAAGAAACATGCAAACTCCTCACAAAGAATATACACATTACTACATTACTACTTTTGAGTTATTAGGAGTATATCTTCACCATCCAAAATAATGTACTCCCTCGGTGCACAAGGTTCACGTATATGAGTGCATTTGGAGTCAGAGGCCATTTGTTAACACAGATAGTCTCTCTTTAGCTGGGGCTATATAAATGACTGGTCTCTTTTGGTGCGTGGAGTGTGCTCCTATAATGACTTAGACAGATACTACCGGAGCAGAGCAATGTGCCTGATCAAGCGGCCATCTGCTCGCTGCTAATGATGATGATGGCTTATCTCAGCACTATGGCTCCGCTGCTTTACGCCCTGCATTGTCACCTCCACAATAGTGCTACGCAATCAAAGTGCTACAGGAAATGCCCTAGAAGTGTCCTTGCAATGCTTATTTTAGTACATGGTTTTATTTGAGCTGTGTGCTAGAGTGTGCTAACATTTCAATTAAAAGGTTGAGTACATGATATTGGTTTCAACATATGAATGTATAAATAATAATAAAAACACTATTTTAAAACTTTACAGGAAATGTCCAAATTTGTCCCATTTATGCATTTTTAAATAAAACATGTGTATAGTTCAAAGTACATATGTGGTAATAATGAATATGTTAAAATTCAATCAACTGTAAAAAAAAAAAAGTAAATAAATAAATATAGCATTGTTCAATTATTTTCGACCCTTTGTAGTTTGTCCAAATACCAGCTGTGTTTGGGAGGGGTCAACTCTAATACAAGCAAGATTTTTATTACCATCATACCTTTACCACTTAATAGTGTTATTGGTACTAAAATTAAAATCTGAAAATATCTACAGTATATCCATCTATACAAATATTATTTATCTGTTCAAATAGACATGCATTTTTGTACATTGCTTGTGCCCATTGGACATGCCTACAGCATTACACTACCTTAAGAGAGATCAATGGCAGAACTGGCCCAGCTGTCCAGATTTCACTGTACTTTAGCCAGCTCCTGGAGGTAAAAGGACACCCCCTTGCAGTGTCCCTGATCATATGCTCCCAGATGGGCCAGTCCCACCAGTGAGGGGGCAGGTGTGGTGGTAGTGGTGGTTGGAGCTCCAGTGATTAGCCTGGGCCCACTAAGTGCTGGAGGCTGCCAGCTGCTGGTGTCTAGTGATGCAGGGGGGAGGGGGTCGTCCAGGGACAGTGGGGTGAGGAGACTGAGGTCCTGTCTGTGGCTTCCAGCTGCAGCATGCAGTAGTGATGTATCAATCCAATCGGTCCAATCAGAGAGAAATTATGGAGCACTGAGTTTGTACTTTCAAGCATGTCCAACTACATTATAAATAGGACTACAGAATTTGGCAAACATACTGAACTGAGTTTTTTCTGACAAGCATTTGATTCAATTTGTGATTCAAGTTTTATTAATAGGATCACATTCAAAGCGTCCAGAAGAAGTAACAAAAAAAAACTGAAATACGAACTAATAAACTAATACAAGAATCACATTTCAGAACGTGTTTGTGCAGAATTAAACTACAGGGTTACAGATTTTCTACATAATATTTTGTTGCTTGTGGAGGAAATGATGGTAATTCAAAAATTGCAGCCTTTGCGATTTGCTCATTAAGTCAATTCAAACTGTGATTTTGATTTGATTGCAATTAATCTCAAAGCCCCTGTTGTTGTCCAATAATATTTTGTCTTTCCTAGCTCTTTGTGCTTTCTCGTATTAACAGGATCATTTAAAAAGCACCTGAATGATGCCTCCATATCAGGTTTCACTTCTGTTTTGTTTCTGAATACAACTAAGCTGAACAAACCAGGGTGACTGGCCAGGAAAGTCAAAACCAAACCCAGACTAAACAAAATGCTCACAAAGGGACTAATCACAATCTTCAGCCTATTCATTTATGTTACTATAATTATTACAACATCACACACAATATGGTAACGAAGCTAGATTTTCACTTAAAACCAATCGATTGCTATTATCTTGTAAATGAATGTTTCAGTTTCGTCTTGTACCTCTGTTGTCGCATTTCTAAAACACAACAACAAGACATGCATTCAGATAAAGCTGCAACAATTAATGGCAATGATTGTGACTATTTTAAGAAATGTTAGTTGTTATTTGGTCTAAAATACATGCCAAAATACAGTTTATGACAAAAATCAACAAAAAGCTATTTCTAAAAGTAGTCTGTTTTTTTAAAAAAACACAAAAATGTTGATTGCAGTCCTTCCTATTATGTTGTCATAGTGAAAAATAGTCAAATAGAAATTCTTTGGGCACTTGTACATCTCACAGTTTGAACATTTTCCATCAGTTTTGCATCATCTTGTTATGCCTTGTACAGAGCCAATGGCAGCTGCACGTGAAGCTGTATGTGTAGTGTTTGATGAGGGCTTGACAGTGTGTGCGTCATAGGGCAGGGCACTGATCAGATCATCCTGTCTAACAAACCTATCAATCAAGAGGACGCACCTCTATTTGGGGACACATGGGGAGAGGGCCATCCCGTAATCTGCTTTAATCAAACAGGAAGTGTGCCACTCATCACCGAGTCAGGTTTCATACCTCTATAAACCCAGACAATGAGAGAGACAGAGAGAAATCTGATTTGAATGGCAGCTTCGA